CATTTTTAATTTTGATATCCCAAAGTCCTTTTGCACAAAAAGAATACAGCAAGTTTCAGAAAAACATAAGCCTAGATACCCTCAAATGACTTAACACAAGGGTGCACTGAAGTAAATTTTGAACGAAAACTTCCAAGGTATAAAAATTAAGAATGATTTCAACTATGGGGAAGTTTTAGTGCAAATGACCCTTATATTTGTGAAGGAAAATTATTAGAGTGCTATAAGAGTTTATACTACACTTATACTCCTGAACACAATAAGTGAGGTTCGCTGCAACTCATATTTCCTTTCAAAGTTTACAGAAAAATATCTTATTTGTCGTGTATTACTACTCAGGTCTCGTGTATAGCTATCACTTTTTAGGAAAAATTGTGTCAATGCTCCAAAAACAATATATTTATGTGCTGCAGTCTCTTCATTTTTTTTCCTATGTGGTTAAGCCCCAAGAAGTGTCACATCATGTGTTGCATCCCTTTTTTAGAAATTATTACCCATCAACTAAGCATAAAGAGAAGATAAAAAGTACAAAACCCCAAAATGCCTTTATCTACTCATTTCTTTCATGTTAGTCTATTTAGAGTTCATGTTAGGTCTAATTCCATGTTAGGTCTATTTAGTGTTAATGTTAGGTCTATTTGGAGTTCATGTTAGGTCAAATTTCAGATTATGTTAAGTCTAATAATAGTTCATGTTACGTCTAATTTCAGTTCATGTTATGTCTAATAATAATTCATGTTAAGTGTAATAATATTTTATGTTAAAGTCTAATTTCTTGTTAAGTCTAATAATAGTTCATGTTAGGTCTAATAATAGTTCTTGTTAGGTCTAATTTCAAATTAGACTTAACATGAAGTAAATTAGACTTAAAAGAATTTTAACATGAAGTAAATTAGACCTAACATGAATTATTATTAGACTTAACATGAACTGAATTTAGACTTAACACGAATCAAGTTAGACTTAACATGAAATTAGACCTAACGTTAATTGTTATTAAACTTAACATGAACTGAAATTAGACGTAACATGAAATTAGACCTAACATGAACTAATATTAGACTTAACATGAAATTAGACCTAACATGAAATATTATTAGGCTTAACATTAACTATTATTAGATCTAACATGAACTATTATTAGACATAACATGAACTAAAATTAGACCTAACTATAGGGTTGAAAAAGTTTGATTGATTTCTTTAATTTGAAGAAATTAAGATTCGATCGCTCGGAAAGAATCTATTACAATCGCTCTCTCTCAATTACAGAGGAAGAGAAGTTTTGATTTGACTTCTCTTGAATTTAATGTGGGTTCTTGGTGGAGAAAGGACGCTTTCCTCGATACTTGTGTCGAGATTGCTTCCCATTGACGATCAGAACAAAATTGTTGAAGAGCTTGGATTGGTACAGTAGATCTCTGAATGCTCTTGCGCGTGTAGTTTGATCTCCGAAAATTCCCCCCCAAGTCCCTCCCAAAGTCCCCTTTTCCCCCCTAATAGCTGCTCGAGGTTATTTATAGGAGTTTAGCACGTAACTGACATGCTGAAGTCATAGGAACGTGGGCATAACTGATGCGGTTGTGGGCGTAACCGACGCCTACTATTTAGCCCACGTGGCTGTCATGGTCTTCGGGACCGTTACAACCCAATTTGAAGTGAGTGACGAGATTCATTGTATTGGTGAACCTCGTCTTTGATGTCGAACCTCGCTGTGTTGGTGAACCTCGTCTTTGATATCGAACCTCGCTGTGTTGACGAGCTTTGACTTCGATGTGGAGCTTCGCTGCTGTGACGTCCCTGTGACAACTCGAAAGGCAATGGTGATTGATTCGAAGTCCGAGACGAGACCCGAGATGAAATCTCCTTCGTGTTAACTCAAGAAGCGGTGATAGACGACTCGAAGTCCGAGACGAGACACATTCATGTCGACTCGCGAGGCGGTGATAGTCGACTCGAAGTTCGAGGCGAGATCCCGAGACGAGACCCCTTCGTGTCGACTCGAGAGGCGGTGATTGTCGACTCAAAGTCTGAGGCGAGATCCGAGATGAGATCTCCTTCGTGTCGACTCGAGAGGCGTTGGTAGTTGACTCGAAGATCCGAGACGAGATGACCCCCTGTGTCGACTCTAAAGGCGGTGATCATTGCCTTTAGTCTGAGACGAGACGATCCCTGTGTCGACTCGAAAGGCGATGATCATCGGCTCGAAGTCCGAGATGAGACGACCCCCTGTGTCGACTCGAAAGGCGGTGTTAATCGGCTTCGTTGCCTTGTCGAGCCGGAGCCTCGTTGTCTTATCGAGCCTCGCCTTTCTGAATTTCAACTGAACTTCGATGTTCGTCTTGGCTAGTGAGGTTCATTATAACGAGTTACGAACCTCGTCTGCCTCTTGGTAATTTTTGAGTGCCTACACTTACATAAACTATTATTAGACCTAACATGAACTACTATTAGACCTAACATGAACTGAAATTAGACCTAACATGAACTATTATTAGACATAACATGAACTAAAATTAGACCTAACATGAACTAAAATTAGACCTATTATAAACTCTAAATAGACTTAACATGGAATTAGACCTAATATGAATTCTAAATAGACCTAACATGAAATTAGACCTAACATAAATTCTAAATGGACATAATATAAAAGAATAGATGAAATAAGAGCATTTTGAGATTTTATACTTTCTATGTTCTCTCTATACTTAGTTGGCGGGTAATAATTGCTAAAAAAATGATGCAACACATGATATGACACTTGTGACACTTCTTGGAGCTAAACCACATTGAATAAAAATGAAAATTGAACAAAAATGAAAGGGCTACCGCACATGAAAATATTATTTTTGGGACCTTAACACAATTTTTCCCTTTTTTAAATGCCTACAGCTTCGGTGCTCCATAGAGATTAGTTGGAGCGCTAATGGCATATCTGTAAATAAATTCCTTAAAAATAGCTCTCACAATTCTAGGTAGATAGATTTGATGGTTATAAGGTGTTCCACACCCAAAATTGTAATTAACTACAACTTTAATTAGGTAAAAAGGTTATTTTAGGAAATATAATTTAAAACCGCTTCGGTGCTCCGATGGCACGCACAGTAAATATGAAGCGAAATTCTCGCTCTCTAAGTGTGTAACTAAATCGTGCATGTAACCATTTTTAACTTGAAAAGTTACTATGGATTTCCACTAGCAATTTTCGTAATTAATTTTAGTAATAGGGTTTACTAATACCTAGCTAGTAACTTTTCTTTTTTATTTCGTTTTTAATCTTCTCTCACATATCGGATCCAAAAAGCGAACCGCCATCGGGGCTCATTCGCCATTGTCGCAGAACACGTAACTGACCACCGGCCTATATTCTCGTTCCGACGGTCGCGTCAATTAATCGATCTTCAGCGTCTTTATTTTATTATTGTTTGCAATTTTCTCGTCTCTAGCTAGGTATTCAATCAAATATTATCAAAACACTATACCTCAACTAGACTCAGTGATTGACTGGAAATCAAAACAAAAAAATTTAAAAGAGAACCTGGTACAGTGCAGAACCCCATTTACTGCTCAAAGACAAAGACGAGAGAAAACCTCTGCAAATAAGTGGGACGTCAAACGTTTTTCTTTTCTTTTTAACTAGATTCTACTCTCATAATAATAATTGCCACCCAACCAACTCTACTGTTAGTAATTAATTAATATCGTGTTAATGGATAATGCTGTATAAAACATCTCTTTGAAACAACAAATATTTTTATAACACTAACAAATATCTTTACAACACTATGTTATTCCCACACACTATGTTAAAACACTCTTAAAATTGAGGGTTATTCCAACACTCCTATTTTTAACTTAATTTGTTGTTATAATAATCTTTTAATGTTGCAACATATCTAATGAGGTAAGATCTTTAAATTTTTAATATAGGTTCCTACTACACCAAACTAAGCATACCATTAATTCCATTCTCCCGCCAACATCCCTGTAGACTGTCTGAATCTGATCAAGCCTCATAATCAAGGTGCTCAAGAATTTCATAATCAAACTCAATGCACGAGTTTGACCAACAAGCCATATACTTGGGATTAGTTAATTTAGAGAAAGATATCCTTCATAATAATGAATCATGCTCAACCATTAACATAACCAAACGAAGTTTTTTCAACAAAATTTTGGGATTTTGAGGTAGAGAAGAAATTCCTGGCGCACAAAGCAACTCATTTTAATTTTTAGGTGATGTTTGTTTCAAAAAAGGAAAAAAAGTCAAGATTTGATATCCATAAAATGACGAAAGATAGATAGCCGCTTTTGAAATTTGCCAAATCCTATTTCCTTAGATAGGATTTGGTCAAGAAAGCTGACAAAACCCCTCCATGTCAGTTCCAAATATAAAAAGTTCTCTTTTATTACAAAAAAAAAAATCTAGAAATTGCATTCCCCACCTTTTTTTTAAACAAAAAATTAGAAATTTCAAGACATATGTAAGAAGCTATGGATTTAAAATTCTTAATGAGTTTCCATTTCCTATAATTTTAGGATTTGAACTAAACAGCCTCTTATTCTAAAAGATAGCATTGAACCTTTTCAGGTTACAAGTGACGGGACATACCAAATGAAGCAGTCATTGAGAATTCCAAGGCTTCGTTCAACTGCTCCTTGAGCCAGCCGAGGGGACTGGGGGGCATTTTGGGAATGGAAGAAGGGAGATAAGGAGCTAAGGAGGGGCAGGGGTGTTTTGAGAAAATGGCGGAAACATTTGATCCCCACGGTAGAGAGGGAAGGACGAACGCCTCTTCTCCTTGTGAATAAAAAAGAGTTCCATTTGGATCCAGATATTCCAGCAGCCGCCCATTGGCCTCCACGGAGCCCATTAGCATCTAGAGCACATAAGATTTTAATTTCACAAAATAATCCCCTCTTGAGTACAAGGATTATTAGAAAATCTCCCTCTAGCTTTAAGCTTTTTATCAGAAGACCGTCCTTTGACTCTGAGATTGTGATCAGAAGGCCCCACCAAAGGTAATACCTTTGTATCCAATAATTATTATTTCTTCACTTAGAGATATTTGGCCATATTATATAGCCGTTCAGAACATACAAATACATACGTAACAACACTGATCTCCCGCTCGATTAACATGAGCCAATACAGAGTAAGCAAAGGAAAGAAAAACACGAATCAAACTTTTAACGAACGATACATTTGAACGGGCGATGCGAAACACTAATGGATTCAAGCAGCAGCAACGTTAAGAAACTGCTCATCCCTCTCCAGATTCTTCATTGCCTCAGGGTCCAGAGTCAGCTCTGCATCAATACCCCCATCCCTCCCCGGGTACAGGAACATGACCCCATCAAACTTATTGTTCAATCCGCTCCGCACCCGCTCCGGACGCCCGAACCCGAACTCCACATCGTACACCCTGAACCTCGGCGAGCTTCCCACCGCCACCGTGTTGACCCCTGCGTCGGTGTAGTGGAACATTTTGGGCTTTGCCTCGTACTCATCCAACCTCGCGTTGACCGCCTTCGTGTCGTGGGACTCAATAACCTTCTGCAGTAGCCCAGTACCGAATTCGGGCGGGCTCGCCTGCAGCAAGCCCGACGCAGTGCCAGTGAAGATGGCCTGGATGAGGTTCCCAAAGTAGGACTCGGGCATTGGAGGGTCGATGCGAGAGCGACAATTCATGAAGATGGCGAAGACGGTGATATCCTCGGGCTTGAGTGCACGGGCACGGCAGACAGAGCGCCATACGTGGGCCCCGAGGGACTGGAAGGTTGAGAAGGGTTTGGATTCAGGAGGGAGGTTGGCGTTGGCCTGGGATTTGAGTTGGGAGAGCGCGGGTTCGGAGAAAGAGAAGACTTTGGCGACCAAATGTTTGGGTGGGCCGTTTGGATCGGCGAGTTCGTGGGCTTTTGGGGAGGAAGGGAGGTCCACTTTGACGCGGGTGGATCGGGCTTTGGTACGGTCGTGGAAGGGAGGAACGGATATAGTTGCAGATGGGCCGCGAGTGAGGTCGGCCCATGATGTCATAAAGTGCCAGGTGGAGTGTCCGTCTACAATAGCATGGTTAAAGGCGCATCCCAGTGCCAAGCCGTTCTTGAGCTTTGTGAACTGCGCACACGAAAAGCATTTTGAGAGGATCAAGCTTAGATTAGCAATTTAACCAAATATGTGAGCAGAATGCAATAATGACAAGAGCAGATGCAGTGATCGGAGAGAACAATATTAAGATGTAGGGCTATTTGCACGTAAATAGCCAAAGTTCATGTCATTTTTAATTTTGATATCCCAAAGTCCTTTTGCACAAAAAGAATACAGCAAGTTTCAGAAAAACATAAGCCTAGATACCCTCAAATGACTTAACACAAGGGTGCACTGAAGTAAATTTTGAACGAAAACTTCCAAGGTATAAAAATTAAGAATGATTTCAACTATGGGGAAGTTTTAGTGCAAATGACCCTTATATTTGTGAAGGAAAATTATTAGAGTGCTATAAGAGTTTATACTACACTTATACTCCTGAACACAATAAGTGAGGTTCGCTGCAACTCATATTTCCTTTCAAAGTTTACAGAAAAGTATCTTATTTGTCGTGTATTACTACTCAGGTCTCGTGTATAGCTATCACTTTTTTCGGAAAAATTGTGTTAAGGCTTCAAAAACAATATTTTTATGTGCTGCAACTCCTTCATTTTTTTCTATATGGTTAAGCCCCAAGAAGTGTCACATCATGTGTTACAGTCCTCTTTTAGTAATTATTACCCGTCAACTAAGCATAAAGAGAAGATAAAAAGTACAAAACCCCAAAATGCCTTTATCTACTCATTTCTTTCATGTTAGGTCTATTTAGAGTTCATGTTAGGTCTAATTTCATGTTAGGTCTATTTAGTGTTCATGTTAGGTCTATTTAGAGTTCATGTTAGGTCTAATTTCAGTTTATGTTAAGTCTAATAATAGTTCGTGTTACGTCTAATTTCAGTTCATGTTATGTCTAATAATAATAGTTCATGTTAAGTCTAATTTCAGTTCATGTTATGTCTAATTTTAGTTCATGTTATGTCTAATAATAATTCATGTTAAGTCTAATAATACTTTATGTTAGGTCTAATTTCATGTTAAGTCTAATAACAGTTCATGTTAGGTCTAATAATAGTTCATATTAGGTCTAATTTTAAATTAGACTTAACATGAAGTAAATTAGAGTTAAAAGAATTTTAACATAAAGTAAATTAGACCTAACATGAACTATTATTAGACTTAACATGAACTGAATTTAGACTTAACACGAATCAAGTTAGACTTAACATGAAATTAGACCTAACGTTAATTGTTATTAAACTTAACATGAACTGAAATTAGACGTAACATGAAATTAGACCTAACATGAACTAATATTAGACTTAACATGAAATTAGACCTAACATGAAATATTATTAGGCTTAACATTAACTATTATTAGATCTAACATGAACTATTATTAGACATAACATGAACTAAAATTAGACCTAACTATAGGGTTGAAAAAGTTTGATTGATTTCTTTAATTTGAAGAAATTAAGATTCGATCGCTCGGAAAGAATCTATTACAATCGCTCTCTCTCAATTACAGAGGAAGAGAAGTTTTGATTTGACTTCTCTTGAATTTAATGTGGGTTCTTGGTGGCGAAAGGACGCATTTCTCGATGCTTGTGCCGAGATTGCTTCCCGTTGACGATCAGAACAAAATTGCTGAAGAGCTTGGATTGGTGCAGTAGATCTATGAATGCTCTTGCGCGCGTAGTTTGATCTCCGAAAATTTCCCCCAAGTCCCTCCCAAAGTCTCCTTTTCCCCCTTAATAGCTGCTTGAGGTTATTTATAGGAGTTTAGCACGTAACTGACATGCTGAAGTCATGGGAACGTGAGCATAACTGATGCGGTTGTGGGCGTAACCGACGCCTACCACTTAGCCCGCGTGGCTGTCATGGTCTTCGGGACCGTTACAACCTAATTTGAAGTGAGTGACGAGCTTCATTGTATTGGTGAACCTCGTCTTTGATGTCGAACCTCACTGTGTTGGTGAACCTCGTCTTTGATATCGAACCTCGCTGTGTTGACGAGCTTTGACTTCGATGTGGAGCTTCGCTGCTGTGACGTCCCTGTGCCCACTCGAAAGGCAATGGTGATTGATTCGAAGTCCGAGACGAGACCCGAGACGAAATCTCCTTCGTGTTAACTGAAGAGGTGGTGATAGACGACTCGAAGTCCGAGACGAGACCCCTTCGTGTCGACTCGAAAGGCGGTTATAGTCGGCTCGAAGTCCGAGGTGAGACCCGAGACGAAATCTCCTTCGTATCGACTCGAGAGGCGGTGATAATCGACTCGAAGTCCGAGTTGAGACCCCGATACGAGACCCTTTCTGTAGGCGTCTAAAAATGCTTACAGACATCCAAATACCACTCAAGGTAAAGAGAAGATGATAAACGCTATTCTCTTAATCAGAGGGGATCATTCAAAAGAAGCGAGACAACACAGAAGAATAATGTACACACCAACAGACAGTACACGGCGGCGCGGCTGAGGCGCGGCAGGACATGGTGCCGCGGCTAAGGCGCGACAGCCCATGGTGCCGCGGCTAAGGCGCGACAGCCTATGGTGCCGTGGCTATTATAGGGGGATGCTGCAGAGGTTACAAGGCAGTTATACGATGATTATTTGAAGTCCACGTGGCGGCATATCAGAAATAGAACGTGTGCTAACGTGGACAAGCAGTTAAACCACGAAAAAGGTGGTGAAAGGTCCGTTGGGAGAACAGTCAGCACGACTGGAAACGTGCTGGTAACCGCTCTCTGTGGCGCTGCAGTCCACCTGTCCGTGCCAATAGCCGCGGTAGTGTGGGCTGCGCGGCCAAGAAGGTTCACTCTGGTCGAGTTGTTTCACCCACATTTCAACTGTGGTGCCACATGCTACCCTCAATAAATACCCTCCCTAAGCCACGAAAATAAAGACGGTGAGAGCATTTTGGAGGGTAAGAGAGAAGTCTTCATTCTTTCATAAACATCCTTAAGAAAGCTTTTGCCATTCCTAGAGATTAAGCTCTGACTTGATCTTGTAGAAGAGTGAACATCTTACATCAGGATAAGATATTCGTTCAATTTCTACTGTCATAAAACGAAGTAAGAATCCCAAAACTTCACGATTCCAATCAGAATCTGTGAATCGGTGGTCCATGGGTTAACGCACCCCCGGCACAGGCAAAGATCCCACGCAAGCAGCGATCCAAACAACGATCCTGCGTTTTTTTCTAGGGAGCTTGTAATTTGATTTTTTTTGTTGTAAAGAGTAGTTTTACAAAGTACGAAGCTCACTCTTTTGTATTCGTTGTAATCGATAAACAGTTATAATGAATTCTACAACAGAACTTGTTCCTGACGCAAACAAACTGGCGACCACAGTGGGAGCCAACGGTCTCGCTGCCGAGACCGTCGTGTCGCAGCCGATCAAGAAACTGGTTGAATCCATGGTCGAATACGAGTTCGACCAAACCAAGTTTGAGGAATATCTCTCATCATCCTCTTCAAGATCTTCATTGTCTCGCGAGTACAAGAAGATCTCACCATTGAAGAAGGCTTATACGTCAAAGAAGGCTAAAAGTGAAGACTCTCGCCCAATCGTTGTTGAGGCCTTGCCTCGCAATATTATCCCGGCGACCCCCAAAGTCGGAAGCTCTGCTCATAATGATTCCACCCTAATTAAGAAGTCGTTCGATCAAAGTTCGCCAACTCTGACGAAGAGGGATCGTCAGAGGCGACGCCAACGCCGCGCTCATCAATTAGCTAACGTCTTGGAACAAACCGATGGAGTTTGTTACTATGCGGACTTAGAATCGAGGAAACATCAAGTGGTTCAGTCGCCTCAATGTCAAATCACTCACATCTCAGCAAAACTTACGTCGGAGGAATGGACTCTTGTCAAAAGGGCCCGTTCGACCCTCAAAGAACGCATACAAAAGCGTATGGCAAACACCGCTCGTGCCCGTGCTCTTTTACAACAAAGACGAGAAGGAAAGAAGAAAACGGTGGCTAAAGAACCACCAAAATTCTACAAAGTTTGGATTCCGAAGTCTGGAGTTGTGCAAAATCAGCATTTGGAGCCCGTTAAGACTCCGCACCCGCAAGAGAGTGGTTCTAAACGTGTGACTCCTGACATAACCTTGCATCGCTCAAAGGCAACAATAATTTGTCCTGAGAATGCCAACAAGGTTTTACACCCTCAGAAGAAGATGTGTTCATCAAAAGACATCGTTATGCCTGGGAGGTCATACCAACAGACGATAGGATTTTTCGGCAATCATACTGATGAATCGTACTATCAAGCTGTGGGTTTGAATAAATTTCGAAAGAGAACTATTCGAGAAATAAACTCTCATTGTTCCTGTGCGTGACTCATTAAAGCAGCATTGTTGGAATATAACTACGCCAAACGAGAAGTCATCCCGCAAAGAGTCTCAGTGTTCCAGAGGCTTTTCACCGAAATGTCAAAGCCCAGGCCGAGACGTTTCAGCAAGAAATTTGCTATTCAAGAGGATGAATTCCCTAAAGTCACCATCAATATGGCTGATAAAGGAAAATCTAAGCGGCATTCAAATGAATCAAACCCCGACTTTTCCCTGGGAGGAAAAGTCAATTCAAGAATTGCCCAACGGATGTCTCGACTCCAGTCAGGAGCTATCAGACGTAGAGATTACAAGAGAATGCATGAAAGAATGTCCTCGGAGGATGAACTCTCAGACACTTGTTCTGCGATCGCTTCTGATGATACAATGTCTAGCACGGGACAAACCAAAGAAGTGTTCACAATCACTTCTGATCAGTTTGCTCAAATGCTTCAAGAAGCTCTAGCGAAGCAACGTGAAGAAATTAGAGCTGAGATGAAGACAGAGATGGAGTTAACTATCCAACAAATGAGAGAATTGCTAACTCAACGTCCTTAACCTCCTGAGTCCAGTCAGCGAGCTAAATCCAGCCGCCACACTCAGAATGTTATAGATGACAGTGATCCAGAAGTGGAGGAAGTCAGTATGGCTGATACACCTCGCAATGACAATAACACTAGGGGTGGTTCAACAGATCCT